GCAGTAGTGTTCTTTGACAAACATGGATGCCTCCAGTAAAGCACATTCATATGTAAATTACTCTGAATTAAAAACACTTATTTATTGAAGAGGATGGAATAATTTCATAATTAAAGGACTTTCAGAAGGTTGAATTCTGGATATGAGCGGACTTCTCCTTTAATAAGGACCTGCTCCCCACTTCAGAGGATGGATCAACCTTTGGTGAGTTAGTGAAGGAGAAACGCCTCGTCTCCTCTGTGCTCCTTCATCATAACGAATTAGAGAAAAAGATGCAGACTGACAGGAAAGTTGAAGATGTTTTACTCCAAGCTGCATTCTTTTCATTGAGGCAAACAAACCGTCAGTAACGTCTCAGAAAGACAACCATCTGCTCCTGCTGTCCACATGTAACCATTTATTTTCAGACTCAGGTTGACACATTACTTTCTATCTGAAATGTTGCTTTACTGCCATCGGCTTCCTGTAGAGATGCAGATTCCTGCTGAAATGTTCCGCCTCCATCAGTGGCTGGATCGGTCAGGGCAGCTGAATGTGGCGTCCAGCTGTGATCCTGGAGAACAGCTGGAACATTTCAGCCAATCAGCCTTCCACTTTCACCCCAAGCTTCAAGACTCAATATTTAAAACTCTCCATTCATCAACAGCTGGGTTACCGTACAAATTGATAAAAAAAACATCAAATTAAATAAAAGAAATAAAAAAAAAATACTTGAAATGTTGGTTTTCAAGGCAATTGTTCAGAGAAGGAATTTTGTAGAAAAGTTGCTCGGCCATTCAGAGCCAACACATGTTCAGTGACGTTAGCGTGTTGTTCCTGCGGTGGCCTGTGCAAACACCACATGCTCCTGTCTGCAGACGGCGCCCAGTTAAACCCACATGTAGAAATCACATCATTCTGTACAGGCAGGAGTAAAACAGCTAAAGACATCAGGTCCCAATGAGCTTCTGCTGCAGAGGCAGCGCTGTGGGGGCGGAGCCAAACCTCACAGCGATCCTCATCCTGCATCAGACCACAGCTTCTGCAGGAGTCCCTCAGTGGGAACTGATCCGCTTCTGCACAGGATTCACTTGTTCAAATAGAAAAGTCCAGTTTGACTGAAGTCCAAAGTGCTCAATGAACCTTAAGGAAAGCTACACTTGGTCAAGGAAGCCCCGCCCCCCAGGACTGGGCCAGATGTCTGATTATTCATGGCTTCTCAGGCTACCAGCCTGGTCCAGGTCCAAACCACACCGTCCAGAAGCTCTGAACAGGAAATCACACAGAAATCTCATAGGTGGTTCCGCCGACGCCCGTCACCTTCTTCACCCCGCCGCCCTGAGGCCTGTGGAGCGGACTTTGTGTCATCGGCGAGCTCGGGTGTTCCGCTCCGGTTCTGCTGGGTGAGGAGGCCAGGTGAGAGGGGGAGGAGGGGGCGGAGCAGGAGGAGGAGGAGGAGAAGGGCTGGCCGCCATTGGTCCGACTCAGAGGGCTGATCCGGATCGGCTCACCTCTGGGTTCATCAGAAGACAAAGAACAGGAGTTAGAGA